TTTTTTCTTCATGTTTTTTCTTTTTTAAATTAAATTCTGTTTAAGGTTCATTGCTAGAAAATAACAACAGTGGTTTACATTTTTTAAACATTTCACAAATTGAGTAACAGGGTTGCATTTATGTGAAGCTCACATAAAATAAAGACATTTTAGAACCAATATCAATATTTTTAATGACTTTTTTTCGATTTAAAACTAGTAGGCCTATACATTAAAAGGAGTAGGCCTACATCTATTATGTAAAAAAAAATAAATAATAATATTTGTATCCCAGATTGAGAAACAGGCTTGCAAAAGCTGTAAATCTCACATAAAAATCTCAGAAAATAAAACCACCTCGGCACCTCCTTTTGTTGACTATTTATTAAAATAGAAAACACATTTTGAAGAGTTTCAGGCTTTAATTACCCTATTTGTGTAATATTTCATCAGATTTGTGTGTGAATATTTTCTGGCAGTCCTTGATTTTGGCACCAGATTGTTACAAGATATTATTTGTGTTTTCTGGTTATATTTTGATTTTCCCCTCCAGACTTTTCCTCCGAGGTAAACAGGCTGAAGTGCGTTTTTGTCTGGCAAATGCTCCATGTTGCTGCATGCTGGGACGTGTTGCTATGGAGAGATGTTGCCGTTTTATTATGTTTGCTCGATTATCTTTAGGGAGCTGATGTAACAGTTTCTCGTGTGTGTGTGTGTGTCAGGATCTTGCAGGTCATAAGGGTGAAGGGTCTTCAGCTCGTCTCAGTGTTGCTTTTCTGACCTTTATGAGATCAATGATCTCTGTGTCAGTCAGGTTTATCTGTAGTCTACGTCAGTCGGTTATTTTAGGGAAATCAAGTTTGCACAATTGCTTAAGTGGTGATCTCACAGAACCTGCGAAGAATATATCCAGGTCATATTATACCTCATAATCAAAAGAAAAGAATAAGGAAGTAGATCTGAAAGAATTAAAGGACTGTTTTTAGGATTCTTACATTGGTAGGTTTGAGTTCTGTAAGAGTTCTGTTAGATACTGTAATGCAAAACAAATCGTATATTGTTGAAATCTTTTTTGTAATGGTATTATTAGTTGTACTGCCTTCAATATTAATTTTAACTTTAAACAAATTTTAAAATCTTAATTATTTAAAAAAAAAAATCTTTTTAGAGCTTTGTGAACTTCTCATTCTCATTACTGTAATTTGAAACAAATCATATATTATTCATATATTTTTATATAATGGTGCTATTAGTTGTACTGCCTTTAATATATGTTAATTTTAACCTGAAGGATTGATTTATGCCAAATGAAGTGATTTATTTATGCCTAATTAAATTTTTGTTAGTCAACAGGAGTTGAAGAGTATATGAAAATATGCAATGATCGCAATTATGTATTTTATTTTTTATTTTTTATAAAAAATAAATATTTTTTACTTTTTATATATTTTTAATATTATGTACATATTTTTTTTCTTTATGCAAAGTGTAATTTTTTGTGTGTTACAAGCATAAGATTTTATAAATGATTTTTTTTTTCCACGTGAAGTTTCTTTATGTAAAATGGGTTTGTTTTGTTTTTTAGTGTAACACGATCTGGAAATGTTCTTTGTGAGAATTACCCAAAACGTTTATTATTTTTTTTTTTTAAAGGTTTATTTATGGCGTTTTATGCCTTTATTTAGATAGGACAGTATAGGTCGACAGGAAGTGAAGTGGGTGAGAGAGAGGGGGATGGGATTGGGAAAGGTCCGCGAGCCGGGACTCAAACTCGTGACACCCGAAGCGCAATGGCGCTGTATGTCGGTGCGCTGCCCACGAGGTTATCGGCGTCGACCCAAAACGTTTCTTTATGCAAAGTGGTTTTGTTTTGTTTTGTGTTTTTGTTTTGTTTGAGTGTAATATGACCTGGAAATGGTCTTTGTGAAATTCACCCAAAAAGGTTGCACTCCCTATTAATACTTCACATGAAGGAAGCACCTGAATCTCAATGAGCTTGAGTTTTGTTCTGTGAATTTCTCATATGTGCGTCCTCAACAGCAACTTTGTGGTTTTATTTGGGTTTTATCCACATACCGTGATAAGATGAGGTAAAACTGCCATTTCAGGCTGCGATGTGAAAACCATTAACCCTGATAACTGCCGTCTGCACAAACGAGGAGGAAAAACAGAGTCCGTTGAGATCAGCCGAGCCTCAAAGACTTTGACACCTGCTCACACCACAAATCACATGCTCCCTTTGTCTCCTCGAGAAACACATTCGACAGAAAAGCTCTTTGTTTTCCTGCGATGTCCTTTGAGTTGAGATTTGGCCTCTGAGAATTCGTCGTGATCTCTAAATTGCACGTTCCAGCGTTCTTTTTAATGATTTAGTCTGGTAATGTCTTCGAATGGGTATTTCTGTACACTTTGGCGTTTCGGATGAATAGGCCATGGTGAATAATATTTCGTAATGATTTCCAGCGCGAAACCAGAGGAAACCCCCCACCCTTTGAAAAAGGCCTGGGAGATTTCTTTTGATGGTGAATCAATGGAGCAGCTCTGAAAGGATTTCTTGATGTTATCCATTAGCAGATGCTCTCTTGTCGCGAAGCGCTTTGCTAATGAATTCTCTCGGCCTCGGCTCAGCGTGTGCGGGTTTGGATTATGAATGAACTCAGAAAAGCTGCCGCGCGGAGACACGCTTTATGCATTATTCAGTGTTGATAATCTTTCATGCTCCTGTTAGGACGGCCTTCACGTGCGCTTTTACGCGCTCTTCCTTTATGCTAGGGCTGTCACCGTTGTCAAATTGTGGCGGTAGGTCAGCTGTCGTACAAATAATTGCGGCTTTTGCAATTTTTGTTCGTATCAAGTGCAGCTGAATACACATTTGTCTCATCACCAAGTCTTTTTTTCATAATGAATATCATGCAGAAATTTTAGAAAAAATATTAAGAGGCAGTTAACAAATATTGATTGATAAGGTAGATGAGGTATATTATTTAGAATTTTTTATTATAGAATTTTATAATGGCATTTTTATTATAATTTAAAGGGGTCATATGATGCTGCTAAAAAGAATGGTTGACTCTTAACTTTTATAAAGAATATCTCTTTGGATTTGAGACTTTAGTCTTTGCAACTTTACAGATCTTCTTTATGCACCAAGAGCTTGTAACACTCCAAAGAGAAAGGAAAAATTGAAATCGCATCATATGACCCCTTTAATTGTTTTTATTATAAATGTTTCATTTTTATTATAATTTATTATTCTTTTTGTGAATGATTCATTTTTATTACATTTTGCCATTCTTAACACAAAATTCAACAAAGCTATTATAAACAACAAACATTGCTTCGATAATGAAGATTATCTTATTAAGTTGTTAATAATTATTTATCTTTTTTTGTCAATTTCAGTGAATATTAATGGAATAAAAGACAGTGGCAGTTTTGCTAGACATTTTGGATATTTCAGACTTTTCTCTCTCTCTCTTTTTCTCTCTTCTTTTAGTGGTACTTTTGAAATCATAGGTTTGGCCCTATGAAATCAGTATAATTTTTTTTTCTAAAATTCCATTTTTCCATTTACATTTTTTACAATTACTTTTAAAAATGTTCAAGTTTAATTACATTTTTTCCCCATGAAATGTATACAATTGAACAACAATTGAAAGTTTTAATTTTTAGGAATTCCATTTTATTTTCCCCAAATCCTGTGTTTTCTAATTGAATTTTTCTGGATTCTGTTTTAATGGTTTAATGCGATTTTAACCATCAAAATGCATGTCTGATCAACTGAATTCGTAAAACGTCAGCAATTTAGGAATATATTACAATTTTTACAATATAAGGGCCCTATGAAATGTTTTATTTGCAGTGAAACATTAACAATTTAATTAAAGGGATAGTTCATCCCAAAACGGAAATAATTTTTTTATACATCACTCCAAACCTGTATGAGATTTTCTTCTGTTGAACACAAAAGAAGTTATTTTGAAGAATGTTGGTGACCAAATAGTTGACGTAACCATAGTGGGGTTTTTTCATACGCATTCTTCAAAATATCTTATTTTTTGTTCAACAGAAGAAAGAAACTCATACAGGTTTGGAACAACGAGGGTGTGTGTGTGTGTGATGACAGAGTTTTCATTTTTGGTTGAATCTTCCAAATACATTGCTTCGATAATGAAGATTATCTTAAGTTGTTAATAATTATTTATCTTTTTTTGTCAATATTTTGGATATTTCAGACTTTTCTCTCTCTCTCTTTTTCTCTCTTCTTTTAGTGGTACTTTTGAAATCATAGGTTTGGCCCTATGAAATCAGTATAATTTTTTTTTTCTAAAATTCCATTTTTCCATTTACATTTTTTACAATTACTTTTAAAAATGTTCAAGTTTAATTACATTTTTTTCCCATGAAATGTATACAATTGAACAACAATTGAAAGTTTACATTTTTAGGAATTCCATTTTATTTTCCCCAAATCCTGTGTTTTCTAATTGAATTTTTCTGGATTCTGTTTTAATGGTTTAATGCAATTTTAACCATCAAAATGCATGTCTGATCAACTGAATTCGTAAAACGTCAGCAATTTAGGAATATATTAAAATTTTTACAATATAAGGGCACTATGAAATGTTTTATTTGCAGTGAAACATTAACAATTTAATTAAAGGGATAGTTCACCCCAAAACGGAAATCATAATTTTTTTATACATCACTCCAAACCTGTATGAGATTTTCTTCTGTTGAACACAAAAGAAGATATTTTGAAGAATGTTGGTGACCAAATAGTTGACGTAACCATAGTGTTTTTTTTTCATACGCATTCTTCAAAATATCTTCTTTTTTGTTCAACAGAAGAAAGAAGAAAGAAGAAAGAAACTCTTACAGGTTTGGAACAACATGAGGGGGTGTAAACGGTGACAGAATGTTCATTTTTGGTTGAAGTAACACTTTAATCTTTTAAAGTGTAATCCAATGAAAATGTAACAGTTACTTTGCTAGTAACTGTCCTCTGTCTGTCATTGCAGTTTGCCCCAGCACAGATATCCGCAACAATGCGACCCACCTGCGTGTTCTGGAGAACTGCACAGTGATCGAGGGCCACCTGAAGATCCTGCTTATATTCAAATCCAGACTGGAGGACTTCCGGGGCTTGAGCTTCCCGAAGCTGGTCGTGATCACGGATTACCTGCTCCTCTTCCGCGTCTATGGCTTGGAGAGTCTGGGTGACCTCTTCCCGAACCTCACGGTCATCCGCGGCAACAACCTCTTCTTCAACTATGCCCTGGTCATGTTCGAAATGATCCAGCTGAAGGAAATCGGCCTCCACAGCCTGACCAATATCACGCGAGGAGCGGTACGCATCGAGAAGAACCCCAACCTCTGCTATTTGTCCACTCTCGACTGGTCCAAGATCTCCGACTCGGTGGAGGACAACTACATTGTGGCTAACAAAGATGACCGGGAGTGCGGAGACATTTGCCCGGGTACCATCATGGGGACGATAACCTGCAAACAGACCACCATCAACGGGAATTTCGGCGAGCGTTGCTGGAACCAGAACCATTGCCAAAGAAGTAAGTTGCGGTTGTTCTTCTTTCAGCGCTGCTGTTGAAGTTTCTAGAGTAATGGTCATCCTCACTTTTTATTTACGCCATTGGCGTAACATCTTTTCAACTTTCTTGGGAAACAGTAGTAGGCCTATGTTTTTGATTAAAAGGAACCAAAAGTCTGTGCTGGGTAGGGATGTAACGATTCACTCAACTCACAATTCGATTCACGATTTTGATGTCACGGTTCGATTTTCTCACGATTTTTTTTAACAAAATGAGATTACATTATACATTATACATATATTATATATAATATAATATAATATATATTAGACATTATACAGTAAATGAGAAGGTGTCCTTTTATCAGGCTATTGCTGCACGTTTCTTTGTGAAATTGAAATATAACAAAACTAAATTGAAAATTTAAAACAAACCCCAAATCAAACAAGTAAGTTACACAAATAAAAGGAATCTCTTCATATAAACAAACTAAAGGTGTGTTCACACCAGACGAAAGTGATGCGAAATGCACGACATGTTTGCCGCGAACGCACGATATTCCATCGTATTTGGGACTTTTTGACAACGGGTACAAAACAGCGATTGTAGTTATCTCCACCATGGTTGATTGAGCTATGTTTTTATTCACACGAGTGACACGAAAAGCATCCTGCGAGTAATCTAGAGCGAGTGACGCGATGCGCATATTCGCTTCGCGTCTGGTGTGAACACACCATACGGTTTTGTCTGTGCTCTTTCCATTTAGAATTAGAGGCAACCACTGGATTTCAATCGTGACCCAAACGAAGATGCAGAATACATGCAGCATGAGCAGTTTTTAATCTAAATTAGACTGTATAATTTCGAATTTTTGAAGCAAAAACAGAATGGTCTGACTTTCGTTTTGTGAAACTATACTACATAAAACATCTGAATGAAACAGTAGATGAACTGAATGAGACGCAAATTCACTCTCTGCCAGCAGGTGGCGCTTCTGAACAGCAATGATGTAGTGTTACTGATAAGATGTGCGTTAAATATCGCATGCGATTTATCGTGCAGCCCTACTTGGTCTTGACACTTAACAAATTGATTTAAATTTGTTGCTTGTGAACTGATATCGCGATTAGCACTGAAATATGATGTTTTGATTAGCGCTGTGTATGTTGTGCATTTACTCTCTCAGAAACCATGGTGGAAAGAGGTTTACTGTATTTCGAATATCCATGATGTGTTTGTGCTAAATTTGTTGTTGATTATACATTTAAGCGACATTGGTGCAATTTTATTGCGTTTTTTTTATTTCGCTGTTAAGCTTTCTAGTAATACTTCATTGTCTTGAGACTAGATATTTTTGTAGCATCTCTAATTGTAAACGTAAGTAGCAGAAATGCTGTTGAACACAAAAGAAGATCCTATCAGTTGACGGTAGCCATTGACATCTATAGTATGGAAGAAAATACTATGGAAGTCAATGGCTACCGTCAACTGTTGATACTGTTGATATTGCGTTTTTTTTATTTCGCTGTTAAGCTTTCTAGTAATACTTCATTGTCTTGAGACTAGATATTTTTGTAGCATCTCTAATTGTAAACGTAAGTAGCAGAAATGCTGTTGAACACAGACAAAGCAGAGCTGCGCTTATGAACACTACATTAATATGCATCGTTCAGAGGCAAGATGAAAACACAGTCAGTTCCCCTCAGAGATACATTCATAATAACTCCTACTCCAATTGTGTCGCGATTTGTTTGGCAACTCAACCGATTTGAATCGTCACATATTTGAATCGATTTTCAACTGGCTCATGGTTAATCGTTACATCCCTAGTGCTGGGCTCTCAAAAATACTTTACTTTGTCTTAGGGCTGCACGATAAATCGCATGCGATATTTAATGCGCATCTTGTCAGAAAGCCGGTTCTTTAATCGGCGGTAAATCTCCATCACCTGCGTGCTTTCACATTGAGCAGCATTAACTACACAGAGCCGTTGTTCACTATTGCGTTTTTTTTATTTCGCTGTTAAGCTTTCTAGTAATACTTCATTGTCTTGAGACTAGATATTTTTGTAGCATCTCTAATTGTAAACGTAAGTAGCAGAAATGCTGTTGAACACAAAAGAAGATCTTAACAGTTGAGGGTAGCCATTGACTTCCATAGTATGGAAGAAAATACTATGCAAGTCAATGGCTGCCGTCAACTGTTGATACCAACATTCTTCAAAATATTTTCTTTTGTGTTTAGCAGAAATGCTGTTGAACACAAAAGAAGATCCTAACAGTTGATGGTAGCCATTGACTTCCATGGTATGGAAGAAAATGCAATGGCAGTCAATGGCTACCGTCAACTGTTGATATCAACATTCTTCAAAATATTTTATTTTGTGTTTAGCAGAATTACTGTTGAACACAAAAGAAGATCCTCACAGTTGACGGTAGCCATTGGCTTTTATAGTATGGAAGAAAATGCAATGGCAGTCAATGGCTACCATCAACAGTTTGATACCAACATTCTTCAAAATATTTTATTTTGTGTTTAGCAGAATTGCTGTTGAACACAAAAGAAGATCCTCACGGTTGACGGTAGCCATTGACTTCCATAGTATAAAAGAAAATACTGTGGAAGTCAATTGCTACCATCAACTGTTTGATACCAACATTCTTCAAAATATCTTATTTTGTGTTCAGCAGAAAATAAGAAACACATACAGGTTTGAAACAACTTGAGGGTAAGTAAATGATGATAGAATTTATTTTTGGGTGAACTGTCACTTTAAAACTTCTGTATCTATTTGGCTACAATGCCTTTTTTGGTAAAAATTAAGGTTCCCTTGATTAAAAATGAATGTTTTTCAGCCATATCAGATTCAGAGCAGATATACTGTATATTGCATATTGTCTGAGAAATATGCAGGAGAATGTTTCTGTAGTAAACATAGGTCTGATTGATTTGCAAGTCAAAGCTGCCTACAATAGCTGAGATGAACAATGTGTGTATGTGAGTGAGACAGAGCTGGTGTTTGGCTGGAGGAAGCCACTCTGGTACATTACAGGACAGTCTGCCAATACAAATCTCGTCTGGCGGTTCAGCGTGTACAGTGCCTGCTCGCTATTCACCTCACACCCCGTTCAACCTCATTCAGCTCAAGTGCCTTGTTTACTTCCACCTTTTTTAGAGGGGAATGATATGGAAGCACTCAATGCAATCCAGGAATCAATCGATAATTAGTTAAAAGGTGTAATTTTATGCAGCAAAAATCAAAACCTAGTTTATTTGCTGGTTTCTTTATAGGAATATTTCACCCAAAAATGAATATCCGGTGAAAATTTACTCACCAAAGATGTAGGTGAGCTTGTTTCTTCATCAAGTTTGGAGAAATGTAGCAATACATCGCTTGGGTGCCGTCAGAATGAGAGTCCAAACAGCTGATAAAAACATCACAATAATCCACAAGTAATCCACACCACTCCAGCCCATCAATTAATGCCTTGTGAAGCAAAAAGCTTTGTGTTTGTAAGCAACAAATCCATCATTAAGAAGTTTTAACTTTACAACCATCGCTTTTGGCAAAAATATGACTCCATAATCCATTAAATTGTTTTCACCAGTGAAAAAGTCTATCTCCTGTTGTCCTCTCACATCAAAATCCACTAACATATTGGTTTAGAACAGTTTTCACTTGTAAACGGTGCTTGATCTGTGCAGATTTCTCCCCTGATTCAGAAAAAGATGACTTTTTCACTGGAGAAAGCAACATTATGGATAGAGAAGCAACAGATTGAAATGGAAAACTAACAAATTTGACAAATTTGTTTCTTACAAACACACAAAATTTCACTTCAAGACATTAACTGATGGACTGGAGTGGTGTGGATTATTGTGATGTTTTTATCATCTGTTTGGACTCTCATTCTGACGGCACCCATTCACTCCATTGGTGAGCAAGTGATGTAATGTTAAATTTTTCCAAATCTTTTCCCATGAAGAAACTCATCTAGCTACATCTCAGATGTCATTTTTGGGTGATCTATTCCTTTAAGACTGATGTTCAGATTACCTAGTGACCATTTGGTTTTGCAAGTATGTTGTACAATCCTTATGAGTGAAATCACAACTGCATTCGTATGGATGAGGTCAGGCTCTGCAATAAGACCAGCAGCGTCCGGCCCAAATAAAGTTCCACGTTGGTAAGCATGCACACATGACTCAACCCACTTTATGTCATGTGAGAGGTGAAAGTTTAGTCAGCTGTAATATCTAAGCGAGACCCCATTTCTGGAGTGTGATGCAATTAGGGATGGAACGATTACCGGTTTCACGATAAATCACGATAAAATGCCCTGACGGTTAGTATTATCTTTTAAAATTGAATTATCATCAAAACCGTATTTAATTATTGCGATTTTGAAAACTCGCGGTAAATCCTGTCCAGCCAGCATTATGCTAAAAAAAGTGCATATAGCTGCTAATTGTATTTGTTGTTTGTTGATTTTCAAATATAAAACTTATTGAAATGTTTTCAGTGTGTGTATCAGTTCTTTTTGAACATGTTCATCTAATTTTAACAAAACCGTGATAATATTGATAATCGTGATAACTTTAGTCACTATAACCGTGATATGAAATTTTCATACCGTTACATCCCTAGATGCAATGCTGCTGTATTTGGGCAGGCGCTGGGGTGAGCGAGTGTATAACCCTACAGCAAGATTCCAGATCCCGAAAGAAACAGGTGCTCTCCGCCATGCCAGATCAACACAACCTGTGCGTGTTTGTTTGTTTAGCCTGACGTTCATGTTTTCTCGCTCCTCCAAGGAATTCTGTTTCTCCACAGCTAATAATAAGGGGAAATGGTTTGTGTTCCTGATGGAAGGTTTTTGACTTTCTTTTGCATTTAATTCCAGAAGGAACTTTCCTACATAGGTGTGTTCTTCTATTTTTATTTTATTTCTAGCCAACGTAAAAGCAAATTTAACCCTGTTTTAGGTGTGGCATGATTGCATCTCCTGATAACAATTAGC